CATCTCTCACAAGTACAAGAAAAACAGCCAAGCTCAGATCCCAGAAGGAGCTACTGTATGTTTTTCTTAAGGGGGCAATGGGACTTCACCAGGAATTGGTGCTAGATCTGCTGCAGGTGGGACTTTTCCAATCGAGGTCCATTTTGTAGGACACTCTCCCCAAACCTGTGTCTCCCTGGATGGGTGGGACTTCAGTTCTCAACCCCATTCATTGCTCTGATAAATTTGCAGCTCTGACATGCACACAAGAGTTTGTGTAAGGCTTGTGTTTGCTTCCTTTAGCCTGGCTTGGGCGTGTCTTCATAATTCCAAGTCAGCAAACAGCTAGTGCAATGTACATTTGTCAGGTTTCTGCGAACTTTGTATTGTGTGCACTTCTACTGACAAAACTGTGTGTTTGTGTGTGTGTGTGTGTGTGTGCGTGTGTCTGTCTGTCTATCTCCTTTTCACATGACCTTTTTCAGATGAGTCACCTTGGCGGGAACAATCTCTCAAAGTTCCTTTTTCAGTATTTTGGTGAGTGTTGCTATCTTCATCTCTTGACGTCTCACAAAAATGTTAGGTGGTTAGTTGAAGGCAAAATCTGGTCTGGTGTTAGAAGGACCCATAGAACTTATCGGAGCCACGAAATCTGCAATACGAGCCATCTTCCAACTGGTTATTCCTGATTTCTTGGTAGCTCCCGTTGCTTCTTACTGGTTTGGAAAGAGAAGAAACAGCAATTGCAAAAGGGGATAGAAGTCAGGTAGGAATATTCGTGCCCAAGGACCATCTCCAGCAGACCCATCCAGGGAGACACATATCTGACTCTTGAGTAGCTCTTTGGATTCAGCCTTTAGAGCAGAGATATTTTTAGGGCAAATAATACCAATTATTGTGTCATGGAGCTGAAGGCAAAGGGCCGCAAGAGTTGTGAGCCTCTAAAATTCCAATGAAGGACTAGTAATTACATACTAGAGTCAATTGTTGCTAGTAATAATCGGCGTTATTCTTTCTAATAGCTTCTGGCCTTTATTTCTATAGCAATTTAGGAGGCCTGAACAAAATATGATGCAATCTCATTTGTCGGTTTTCGCTTCCCTATGAGATCTAGGCGAACAAATGCGTATTTCGAGAGAAAGGGAAACAAATTCCAGCGTACTCTGGTTACCCTTCGTATTGAATTGTTTTTGTCCTGAATAATATGGACAGGAAAGCGATATCAGGAAGCTGACATTTTCCAAGCATCTGTTTTTACTGTTTCTCTCCTTTGAACCAGGGAAAAATGTACACATTTTTTAAAAAAAATTAAAAATAGTTTTCCAGAAACCAGATCCCATTTTTATTACTGCTGATAACGTCTGCTGGTTTTTGCACTCTTCTCGAGTGGAAAGTTATGAAAGAAATTTCTGGAAAGTTCCATTTTTTTTTTTTAGCTGGGCGTTCGTACATTCAAGTTGCCGTGTTTTGCCCCATTTTACAACCGTTCTCACGACATTTGTTGAGCGAATCACTCACTGCTGGGGTTCAATTAGTCCCCCGGTTGTTAAATGAATCTGGTCTCCTGATTGACTCAGCTTGTCAGAAGGTTGCAAAAGGGGATCACGTAACCCCGAGACACACTGCAACCGTCGTAAGTACGAGTCAGTTGCCAAGCTTCTGAATTTTGATCCTTTGAGGATGCTGCAATGGTCGCAAGTGTGAAAACCGTCACTAAATGAACGGCTGTGATTCCAGGGCAACTTGCATCGTGTTTGCCAATGAGCTGCAATTTTGCTTCTTGCACGTCTGTTAAAAAAGACCCTTGGATTCACGGCCTGTTGTGTAAATTGGGAAAAAAGGGGGGGAGGGGGGAGTACCCTGGTTTTCCCAGTGTGGCTCCCCATCAATTTATTTGGGCTTCCAACTGATCCACATCTGGCAGAGGACAGAGGTGGCCATCTGCGATGCAGACGGAGCCCAGTCATGCGTCTTCCTGAAGGCTTCCAAGTTTATTTTTAAGCTGCCTAATCATCTGAGGAAAAAGTAAATATTGTGCAGAGCCTTGAACACTGATGAATCACATGATAATAAAGTCCTCCAGGCGCAGCTTGGATGACAAAAAAACCCAAAAACCACACTTAAAAAAAGAAACGAAATACCCACCAGAAGAATCCGGGAGTCTTCTACAACTTAAAGATAACTGGGTGAAGCAGCCTCGTGCCTTTAGCTGAGAATTCCTGTGGCATGTGAAGTTGTAGACGAACAAAAGAGGAACAAGGCTCGTGCGCAATTGTGGGACGTCCTTGGAAGGACACCCGATGAATGAAAAGCTATTCACCAGATTTTTTGCTGTCACGGTGGAATTCATGTTGAATGGGGGGCAAAAAAGAAAGAAGAAATGTGGACTGTTTCACTTAGCTGATAGGAAAAATGGAACAAGAGGCCTTTTTGAGGCTTTAAATAAATGGATTTGTGCGGAATATGAAAGCCAGCTTCTGAACCATTTCCATATTCAGGGTTTTTTTCTTCTCTCTATTTCTGTTCTACGTCACACTTGTATTTTTGTTACCTGTTTCTCTTCTCCTGCCCTTCTTGTTTTAAGACCCTTTTTGCTATGGTCCTTAAGCATGTACGGTTGTTAAATGAATCACAAGGCTGTTAAACGAATCTGGCCTCCCTCGACTTTGCTTGTCAGAAGCTTGGCTGGGAATCGCAGGAGCCTGGGATGCTACAACCGTCGTAAATACAGGTTGTACATGTACATGTCCGAATTTTAATCACGTGATTCTGAAGTGACGTTTGTAAGTCACTTTTTTTTAGTGCTGTTGTAACTTCAAACGGTCGCTAAGCAAGTGTTAGTGAGTCGAGGGTTACCTGTATGTTGCATTCTTTCCATTTTGCTTTTGGTGACCCCTTTTTGAAAAAGCAACAAGGACACTTTTCATCCAAACCTGTACGTAATCTATGATAATGTGGAATAATACGAAAACCCACAAGGGTTTTCCACCCTGAAGTTGAAACACAGGAAGCATTCCTCATGGTTTCGTCGGGGACATGTTGAAAAATGCACTTTTGGGGGTATATCATTTTTTTTTAATTATGTCAGAATGTAAAATGCAAAAGAAAATCAAAAGCAATGGAAAGCTAGGGGAAGGGAAAAGGAGAAAATGTGGGGTGGAAAAAGATAAAGAAAAAAAGGCATTGGTTTCCAACTCTCTTTGGCACAGTAGAAGATAATAATATTACAACCTCAACTTTTTACTTTTACGCAATAGAATACACTAGCCATTTCTTTAACAACAAACCTATCTAATCAACAAAAACAAAGTCAAAATTTCGTTTTTCTTTTGCCCCATAACAAAGCACCAAGTCCAGAATTGATTTCCACATAGAAACAAACTTACATATATTATTTTCTTTGGATAAAGGAATCGATCTGCTTTTCTTTGCTGTGGGAAATAATATATCTTTCTGTTTGCTCACAACTCTTTATAGACTGTCATAACTGATATTAATAAAATTCACTATATTCTTTCGGATTGTTTCTAACCTCTAAAGAGAAAAAAAAAATAACTTTTTGTAAATTTTAAAACGTTAAAACTTTTCTTTAAAAACGTTTCTAAAATCAATAAGTTCTAAGATCTAAACTGTGACAGGAAAGGGGAAGTTCTCATTTTTTTTTTTTCGGTTTTGTTTTGTTACCAAAGTCACGTGAAAATGGCTTCTTTTAAAGCCCTTTGCAAGCAAGCCAATGCTTGCATTACCTTAGCAACGGCATCATCATCTTGGAATAAATTCTATAGATGTTCTTGTCTCTTTATTGAGAACCCGACAATGCCTCAATGCATTTTCCAGAGTGGGAAGCTTGAGTGGCATGGAATAAATCTGAGTTTCTGCTAACTTGACAGTTGCAGCCCGAGATGACACATCACGGGTGTGATAACCAGACTCCCGCTCATAAAAAAAAACACAAAAAAACCCCCAGCAGCTGAAGTGTAATTGTGTTTGCATAAAAATTGCACAAGGCTGTTTGAAGCAGGCGAAAGTTTTTTGCTTTTTTGCATTTTAAGGCCTGGCGGTGGCTCCTAGGAAGGAAGACGGGGATGGCTACAGGGAGGGTGGTTGGATTGAAATAATTTCCTCTGAAATTACAGTTGCATATGATCAGAGATAATACTATGTAATTTTAAAGATTTCCCTTGGTGTTGCTTCTCTCTCTCTCTCTCTCTCTCTCTCTCTCTCTCTCTCTCTCTCTCTCTCTCTC